CTGGAGCTTCTTGCTGTGTAGTCTTCTGAACTGGTTCGCGACGAACTTGAGGTCCTCGGCTCTCAGGGCAAAGGCCTCAACCTCTGTAAGGCTCTGCACTGTCCTCGTCGAAAGCGGGAAATGGACATTGGTCTTTGGAAGTAAAGCCCATGTGAGCAGCTCCTCGCCAGCGAAATCACCAGGGCGCAGGATGATGGAGTTGAAGAAGTTGCTGCGGCCTCCGTTGGTTGTGGAGCTCTCTAGCTTACCGCGTATGACGAAGAGCATCTCATTCACAGGATCACCCTCACGAGAAATGTATGTGCGCTCAGGGCACAGGAAAGACACCAGACGCTCGCAGATGGCGTCTAGAAGTTGGTAATCCATCTCCGAGAAAAATGGGACCTGCATTTTAGGAAGGGATAAGAAAACATGCTAGACTATGAAGTAGCACTGGTGGTACTTTTGTCACTGATTTTTCCATCCAAACGACAGAATGCCACTAGAAAATTTAACATCTAAAACCTTTCAGAAACTAAAACATTCTACTAATTCAGTTGAAATGTAAGTAAATAACCACAACTTACACGTCGAACAAGGTCCAAACAAAGATGGCGCTGTACATCCCGGCGTATATCAGCAGGCAAAGCTTGTAAGATGGATTCCTCTTCTACTCCTCGTGTTGCAAGCCATTTAACCTGAACGAATCGCCGGACACGATCTTGAAGTTCATCAGGGAGCTGATGATGTCTCATCCACTCCTCCATATCTCTTTGCCGGAGCCTCCACTCTTCAAGCCTTTTACTGATGGACTGCAAGTATGTCTACAAGATGACAAACAAAAAGGAAGTAAGCAACATCTCTGAACCAACAACCTCAATTGGTTGCAAATGTGGAAAATGGCTTATGAGCAAAGTGATAGTTTTATGTTCCTGTCATCAGATTTTAAAACAATGAAAATGGAAATTTCTGACTTGAAGCATCCATTGATCACAGAAATAGGACATCCACTTATGTGCACATATTATAGAACGTAACAATCTTGCATTACTACATTTACAGTAAACTGAAACAGTAACAAGAAAATTATTGTCCTTGGAGCATTTTCTCCCCTAGTTCAGAACAAAAGATATGACAATACCTGCATATTGCCAATCAGCTGAGCAAAGAGTACGAGACTAAGAGCACCAATTGCTATGGCAAATGTGTTCTCTGCGATGTATGCACTTGTCTGAAGAGGATTTCCACTAGAACTGAAAAGGAGAGCACATACAGCAGCAGAAAACTAAACATGAGCAATTGTATTTGAATCACACAGAACCATGAATAAAATGGATAAATCATGGAAGAACCCCAAGTAAAGTATATAATCAGATTAATAGTTCACAGGCAAGATATCAACAACAGATGTACAGAAAGTTTAATATTCAAGATGGGGATGTATATTAAAAATTAATTATACCTAAGCTGCAGCAAGCCCCACCACAGACAAAAGAAGTACTTCTCAAGAAATGGAGCAGAAACAGCACCTTTACTCAGTGCGGTTGAAAACATTCCATAATTAAATGGTGGGGGGTTAGCACTTGAATTACGATTGGGATCACAATTGTCAAATATACTTGTGTTCTTTCCCCAAGTAAGATAACTGCTAGAACCAGTATTGTCACAGCTTATGAAGTTAAAACTACAAGACTCATTTAGGCACTGCTGATTCCAACATGTAATTTGCCGTTCAATGGAGAGAAGATAGTATATTGCTCCAGTAATCTGCAGAACCAGGAGGAACATTATTGAAGTATTAGTTCAAAAAAAAAAGTGCAGCTAAGAGCTGTGATATTAAAATTATTGTCCTCCAATTTGAGTTTGCACATATGCATGTATTTCCTTTTTTAGAGAGGCCAAATTAACATATCTACATGCTGTGATTACAGACAGGCTCATTTTGTTTGTCCAATTCCTACTGTGAATGAGGTATCAGGGAAAAAACTGCAAAATTTAAGTTGGGTTTCAATTGTAGATTACATTGCACAACACTTAGTATTTAAACAAATTAACATGGCACAAAAATGATGAACACTAAGTTGAAGATGGAAGGTGGTCATACATGACTTGCAAGCATGTAGTACAGAAGATTGTATGCTGCTCCTAGCCAGGCTGACTTGGCAACTACTCCAGCTGCTTTGATAATTTGATTGCTTAATGGTACAATGAGATACATTCTGAATATATACTGAATCATAATAACCAGAGCAAATGTGGTGTTCCGGATGTTGTAATCTGAGTTTTTTATTGAAGGCATAATAATCCACACGGTAACCTGCAAGAGAAAGTACCACCAGGAGATTCAGGCTATGACTGTAGAATTCAAAAGTTTCAATTGATTACATTATCGGTATTCAGTTGTGGGAAAGCGGATCAACCACACACTGGAAATTGGGGGAAAATAACATGCCAATCATGTAGTTCTAGCAGTGCAAAGTAAAAATGGTTTAGAACAATGTTGGCAAAGACAACATGGATAATTATAAATCGAAGTAGCAGTTAACTATATCATGAAAATATTCCAAGTAAACATGGAAATAATAAAATAAATTGTCTTTAAACTCACTCAGGGGAAGTGATTTAGTTTTTAGTCATGAAAACTAATGAATTTATTCTAAACAGAAAGAAAGAATGGAAATACTAGTAAATTGCAAAAGGGCATTATTAAAAGTACTTTGAGGGATGGTTGTGGCATACAAAACTTTTAGCAACAAAAGATGTAGTGGAGGGTGAAAATAAAGTGCACAATTACAAACATTTGCACCATAGTCACTCTTTCGAACAACTTTAGTCTTGCGCATGGGTAACTGGGGGTATCTACCATCAACAAATGCAATAAGAATTCCAAAAAAGCATTACTTCTGCGCTATTTACCTGAGGAAGAGGGATCGTTGCAAGTAGGTCAATAAAGAAATCTGTTCTGAGATATCTCCGTTGAATCTTCTTTAAGTCCAAGACAAGCTCTCCCTTCCCAAGTACTCTGGACTTTGGATCTACATATGCAGTATGGAACTTGACCATGATGTTCAGCATGTAAAACAAGTCCGCAAATGTCCTAAGAACAGTGATAGTTATGCTCAATCGCCGGTCCTTGGCAATGCATGAACGGTTGGTACTTTCATCTAGTACATGAACTAGCGGCAGGTAGTAGAAGAAAGGATCAATGAAAAGAGCAAACAAACAGGACCCTAGGAACACCCTGTTCCACATTAGCACCATGCTACTCCCAGGGTCTAGAATGCGGCGGTGCCATGGTATGTTGCCTTCACTTATCACTTTAATCTTCTCAGTAGTCTTTGCATCTATCCTGTTTACCCCAAATCTGTCAGCCCGTGCAGCTTGAAACGGTAGCTTAAACTGGTCCTGTCTCTCATCAGGAAAGATCCTACACATAGAAACAACCCAGTAAGGAAAAATAAACTGCAAAAATGTTATCTCTGAATGTGTATTATCTTTTGTGCAAATATTGGGTGGTTCCAATCAGAAAGGGTAACAATTAGACCAGAATTGCATATTGACAACATATCGCCTCCTGTGTCCACCTGTTCGCAACTGCGGATCAAGCTACTACATTAAAAGGGGCAAACTAAATCTGCCGTATAAATTGAAACTTTCCTCCTTACATATGCTTGAAAGAACCGAAAAGAATTCCTCTTCTGCATCAAGAGACGAAAAGGAAGCTACAGGATTAAAGAATCACAAGCTGGCAGCACGCACCTGTTGGTAGTCCTCCTCTGCATCTCCACCTCATCCTGGACTCGGGACCCAAACATGGCGGCTGCTCCCCTTCCCCCCGGACCAAATCTTGCTGTGTCAACTGAGGAGGCCGATCAGAGGAGCAGACGGCGAGCCCGATGCTTCTTCCCGCCCCAAATCAACACCATGGCAAGTCCTCCTCCTGCTTGAGAAGACTTGCCAAGGACTAGGATGGAACGGACACAGAAATTTTTCTTCCCCTTTTTCGTTTTCTTTTCTTTTCTTTTCCTTTCGGGAGAGGCGAGGAAGAAGAAGAGGGAGTTGGACCAATTACTCCCTGCCTTCCTGCTTGTTAGCTTGAGCCACACAGAGAGTCCACACGAATTTGTACCATGTAACTGACATGTGGACCCACGACAAACAGCCTTGGAAGTATCTAAAAAATCGCCCCGTAGTTTTTTTAGTCAAAACCTTTCGCATGTAATATAATGGAATTGAAGTGTAATTATATTGTAACTTAGCTTTAACTATACTGTAGCTACGATATAACTTATATAAAACTTATATTCAAATATGGTTTGGTTTGTTAGTGCTAGGATCTTGCACATGAGATGTGTAAAAATTTCTTTCGAGCAAATTTTCTTCTTCATACATAAATCTTGAGTTCTCAACACGATTCTATAGTCACAAATATGAAAGTTTTAGGGGTAAAAAAACTTATGAAAGTTTTCTAGCAAATCTGAACAGCCTTTTCTGTTTTTTCCCTATTTTTTACCGGTGGAAACGGAGAGAGAGGTATCAGTAGGGGTTCGAATCACGATAAATTCACGAAAATAATAAAATAAAAATGGTAGTATCGTTTTTAACGTTTTTGTTTCTAGCTAAAAATAAATTTTACCTTTTATTTATATCAACATCGTAATACATGAATATATATAAAAAAAATCTCGACCGTGTAGATAAATTCAGGGATGTGGAGTCATTAGAGGGCAATTAAATGGGATCTGGTTTCACTATCTGATAAAGTGATAAGTATGCTGGATCAAACAAAGTCGGATGAGATCTTGGAATACCACATTACAGCATAAAAGTAAACGACAGTGTAAGTTCCAACCATTTTAATCCTGCAATTAACACGGCCAAAGCCATATTATCAACGCAATAAAATATCCCGCAAGAATCTTATCGTTGGATGTTGCTTCAGAAAACACTTCGCAACAATGAGATAGTAGAATAATGATACATTTGGCTGTGTATATAATTCGTGGATTTGGCTGTGTATATCATTTGTGGATCTAGAGGCCGGATTAATGAAAATCCATTATCTAAAAAAAGTAGAATGATACATACGATGGCTGTCAGTCAAAAAATATTAACAAAAGGAACTCAACAACTTTCTTCAGGCTAGTTACTGATTCTAAAACTGCTTCTATAATCCCCCACTGAATGGGGACAATCATATCATTTATTGCATTTTACTTTTACAGCTAACTATCTCTTCGTACATGGTGAAGTCGGATCAATCAAAGACATACATTTGGTGCACAAGAACACCAAAAACTACAAGCCTGCTTTCTGGATTCTGGACGATCGGTTGGTGTTTCAATCACCCTGAACCTGAAATTCATAAGCCCAAAAGTCAGAAGAACTGCTCACAGCGAAACAAGATGAAATAGAAAGTGTAAACATCATTCAACATGTTTGATTACAATGAAAACCGCGCTTTCAGTTGGCACTTCCAAGCAACTTAAAAGAAGATCAAAAAAGATAATTTTTGAGATGTATTTGAAGATGGAAGCATTTAAAAGTTCAGAAATTCAGATCGGTTTCAACTTGAGGGCATAAATGCTAATCCTTGAATTGTTTGGTGTGCTAACCTTGCCTTTTATCAATACAAAGTAAACATAATTGCACTAGCACAAACCAATACTTAGCCCTGATAGTACTGGTACATGATCACTTGATGATTGATTCTGAATATATGCTAAGCTGAACAGATTTAGCAACCTGTGTCGATTTTCTCATAATCTAATTTCCTCTTATGCATGAAAAGGCTTACATGGTCCATTTTGATAAGATATGGAATATTAGCGTATTCAATCAAATCAGATAAATATATGCACAGATGCACTTAAACACATCCATAGGCTGATCCAGTATTTTTTTTCTCCAGAATATTTGTAAGTTCAATTTGTATAGATTATGGTAGCATTATACAGTCAGAATCACTTTCAACAAGCATGCAATTGCTCTTTCATTTTTATGAATTGGACACCTCTAGGGTTATACGAATTTTGGATTCGCTTTTGAAGGAGAGTAGGAGAACATAGCAAAATTTTGTCTATTCATGGCTTAACCCAGTAGGAGTATTTTTATAGCATGCCATCAGCACAGTTGATTATATTTTCATTACAATTTTATTACTTAGCGGTTGTATACAATCTTTTTAATGTAAGGTCTGATCATTTAGGTAATTCAGGTAACATGTGTTTGCAACATGGAAGATCGCTCTGCTGAGGTCGCACGTAATTGTACTTTTTGCAGATCGCAATTTAGTCTATGCACTCCTACAATCAAAATCTTGTACTAACGAAACATCATGTGTTTGCACTATACCACACATGCAATCAAGCCGTTCTGTATTTCAGAACATGCACTCAGAAAATATCAGCTTCTATCGATATAGTTGTACCGAACTCCAAAAATTTGGAACTCAAAGACTATGTAGCGCATAATTACACTAGACAAAACTCAACAGGCTGGAACTTCCTAATCTATTAGTGAACTCCAGATATAGCAAATGCCAAGTAGGAGTACTTAACTTCAAATTGCATGGAATGTTTGATAGCTATGGAATGTAAAGAACAACATATACCCCTATTAAGTTAGTTAACTACAACCAGTTTATTCGCAAATTGTCATGTTGATACTAACCATTTTCTCCTTTCTTGGCATGGTTGTCCACTTCAGCTGTTACAGATGAGCTACCACCAGTCTTGCTGCTGCACTCCTTCAATCTCTTTGCGAAAAGCTTAGCGATCTGCAAGTGCGTCTTTGCCATAATCTCTGTCCTCTTGAGCTCCATCTCACCCTTCTTAATCTCAGCCTCAACCCTCATCCTCTCTGTTTCCCTGTACAGGTCCATTCTTGCGCGCTCAATCTTCAAGAATGAGCTTGCCAGCAACTCGATGCTCTTCGCGATATCAAACTCCGTGTTCTTCCTCTTCTTGGACATGTCCCATACCTTGTCCACCTCCTCGGCATCCTCGTTCGCCTCCTTGATCCTCGGAGAGCTCACATTGACATCACTCTCTGCAGCTCTCCCCTCAACATGCCCACTGTTCTCAACCTTGTCCAATTTCTCTTGAATCGAGCCGTTTGCATATGCACTCACCAATTCAGAAAGTGCACCCGGCCCTGCATCAGCTAACTGACTGACGAAATCTGCATCGACATCGACCTCAACCTTTGCAGGAGGAGGAGCTCGCAGGTCTATGCTGTTGCTCAACTCCGCCTGCGGCTGGCCGGAGCCGGCGGGGCCTTTGAGCAAGCCGTCCATGCGGGCGAAGAACCGCCACGACGGGCCAGCACCGGCGGCGGCGGGGCCGGCGCGCGCCGCCGCGGCGGACTCCGCCCTGTACCGCTTCTTCATGGACTCGATCTTGTTCTTGCACTGGTTGGGCGTCTTGGCCGTGCTGCTCCCGGGCTTCCCCGTGGCGGCGGCGTTCTCCATGGCGCAGTGGGCGGACACCTCGTGGGCAATGTCGACCCAGTCGCTCCACTTGAGCTTGGCGCGGTTCCGCAGCAGCCACTTGGCCTCGTACGCCTCCAGCAGCCGCACAATGCCGCTCTCGCTCCACTCGTCGCGCTTCTGCGGCGGCGCCGCCGCCGCCGCCAACTGCGCCGCGTCGGCGGCGTCAGGAAGGGCATCCATGGCGGCACCACGGAGGAAGCTTAAAATTCTGCAGCTCAGGCGGAAGAACCGGACCCGAATTGCGGTGTCATCCGCTCGCCTCTGACATGGGGGATCTCTCTTGGGCAACGAAGCTATCAACAGAGACTGAATTAGCTGAAAAGAGATCGCCGCGAAGCACAAAGCTTTGCTAATTTAGTGATGAGACAGAAAGATCAAAAGGAGGAGACCCTTTTGTTCCAAAGACCCAACAAAAAAAAGTGTATTTTTGGAGACGACGACTTGCTAGATCAAAAAGGGGAAGCTCCTCCCCTCCCCTCCCTCCACTGTTGATGCGTGCGTCCGGCGGAATCGCTCCCAGACCGGCACCGGCCTGACCGACTAACTGACCGAAGAAAAATTCAGCAGCAGCAGCAGCAGCAGCAAGAAGAAGAAGAAGACGGCAAGTAGGAGGCGAAACAGAGGCAAGAAGCAGCAAGGTCGTCAAGAACACTGAAGACTGAAGACCTCGAAAGAGGAGAGAGACAGACGGAGAGAGAGAGAGAAGTCAGAAGAGGATCCGAGCTGGGAAATGCGAGAGGGAGTTGGGGGAAGGGAAGGATCGGGCGCGCGGGGGGAGAAAGGTGGGAGAGGGAGAAGAGAAGGAGAACGATGGTGGTGGGGAAGAGGCGGAAAGTGGGAGACCGTCGCGGACAACTCCGTCCGTCCACCACCACCAGCAGCAGGTGGCCCCCGTGGGTCAGCGAGGCGAGGCGCGGTGGACCGGGCGCATGCGGGATCGGAGGAGGAGGTGGTGGTGGCGCGCGTCGGATCGCATTAGGCGGAGGAGGAGGCAAGGGCGGAAGGAGAGGGAGTGGAGGGTGACGCCAGCGCTGACCGGACGGATCCAACACCCGCGCCACGGCCACGCCAAGGTGTGGTGGGAGCCAACAGCCAAGCAGCCGCGCGGCGGATCGGGCGGATGCTGCGGGGGGCTGGAGTGGCCGAGTGGGAAATGCGCTGCCGCCGCGCAGAGAGAGTACTGGCTGTTGCTGCGACTGCGCGCGGTGGCCGGCGGGGCCCGCGCCTGGGTTGGGTTCCCGTTCCCTCGTTTTCCACGGCAGGCACGAGACAGCAAGGCAGGCAGTCGCGGCGCCCGCGGTTGGTGACCACTGACCACGCCTCGCCCTGGATTTCTTCTGTTTTACCCCCTTTCTATAAACTTATTTTACATATATAGACACCATCAGCAAAGCTTTATTTCAAGTTTAGACTTTGGGAAAGATGAGGTCCAACGTCACAGCGCCGGAGTCTTTGGTGCTAATAAATCCTGGTCACTGATTCGGCACGGCAGCGGCCACAACCAGATGGACTGTCATGAAACAACTACAACTGCTGACTGACCGTGTCCACGCAACCATAGCTCACTTCACCATACCGAGGATCAAGGCTAGAGATCTTAACAATCGCCAAAATGCCGGTCCGCGTGCTCACACAAAGTGACAAGGTGTCAACTCCCTCGACGCCATTGACTTCAGCATAGCGTTGGACCTAGGTGCAAAAGTAAAATAAGTTTCTAAGGGTTCATTTATAAGAGTTTTTTTAAAAGGTTCATTCGTAAAATAAGTTTTTAGGGAAGGGCTGAAATGTAAGAAAATACAGGCGCCTCGCTTGCCTCGGCGCCAACGGCCATCCACCAAAGGCGCGCGCCGTCGCTTTCGGTTGGGGTTTGGGGCTTCCACTTGTCCGCGGTTGGTGGGTGGCGGCAGCCGCCTGCAGCGGCATCTTTTTTCCTTTTCTTTGCCCTCGCATCGCAGGCAGCCAACTCCCAACTCCAGCCTGCGCTGCACTCAACTGCACCGAGTACTGCCTCTTCTCCGTTAAAAAAAAATAATAATAACCCAAAAGGAAGTACCATGAATCTGAATAAAGAATTATTCAGATTTGCAGTACTAAAAAGATAGATTGAGTTTTTTTAACAGAGATAATACTCTCTCCGTTCCCTAATATAAAGTATTTTGATATTTTACATACTATGTTTGACCACTCGTCTTATTAAAAAAATTATGTAAATATAAAAAATGAAAAGTTGTGCTTAAAATACTTTAGATAATAAAGTAAGTCATAAACAAAATAAATAATAATTTTAAAATTTTGTAAATAAGATGAATAGTCAAATAGTGTAAGTAAAATGTTAAAATCTCTTATAATAGATATAGATAGCGGAGGGAGTATACTAGTAGTACTCTACTGTACTCTACCTCTATCATTGTTCTGTTCAACTGGTTGACCATTAGTGGGATCTTGCAACATCTACGGCCTACGGCAGTTAAGTGGAAGTCAATAATTATAGAGAAAGTCAAGCATATGGTACTGGCGTACTGCTACTATCATCACCGTATATGCAAGACTAGTTGCAGTTATCTGATGCTTGCATATTAAGTGCAGAACTGTGCACAAGTGCAATTTATTTAATGTTAAAAAAAAAGTGCAATTTATTTAGCTCACTGCTCACCAGAGTTTTTGAGTCTGATCATGCACTCCTACCCTTGTGGATTTAAAATCAGTAGGGTTGGCTTGTGGTACGATGTGATTACTGTACAGTGTACTAATCCCATCAAAACTTATACACTAGAGACAGGTACAGTTCATTTGTACTTAGTATAGTACTAAGATTTTTCATGTACTCCAACTCTCTTCTTTGAAACACAACGGGGCAGCCGTTCTCATGTTCAGATTATCAGATATTGGCTATTTTAGTTTGTACTACTAGCAATTAGCAAGGGCATAAACAATGCCCACTTGATTGCTCCACTATTTAAACTCTTCTCTCTCTTTTTGGCTGTGTTTAGTTCCTGAAAAAAAGTTAAAAGTTTAGGGAAAGTTGGTAGTTTGGAAAAAAAAAGTTAAGAGTGTAGGAAAATTTTGGATATGATGTGATGTGATGGAAAGTTGGAAGTTGGAGGTGAACTAAACACGGCCTTTATCTATGTGTGATATCTGCAAAATCTTAGATCATGTCATAGTTACTATACAGCCCAAGCATACAAATTGGCAAATTCTCTAGATGAAGGATGATGAATCAACTGATGACCACATTTTCAAAACCATATGCATTGCCCTAACGGAAAGGACTTTAAAGTTGCATGGAGAATATGCCATCCAAGTCAGTGGTGAGCACAAAAGAGTGTACTCATCCTCCAAATCCTACCTAGGATTATGATGGTTGAGTGGTGCCCACTGATCAATCCACAAACATGGAGCAGAGGAGACGTCCAGGTCAAGCTCCTCTTGAATCTTGATGATGAGCAAGCAGCAGCAGCAGCAGCAGTAGAGGGACACTTGCCGACCTGCCGACCACTCTGCTGCTGTCTGCTCCATGTTTAACCACACGTTTCCCATTCACTGCCAGCTTTGAGGAGCCATGAAATAGTAACACGGCACTTAACCAGACATTTCTCTCACTGAAACTATAGGATGCAGTCATGTTGCTGCTCATGTTCGGGAGAACGTACTCTCTCCGTCAAAAAAAACCATCTTCACTTGTCCGGATTCATTCCAAGAAGCTTTTTTTTTTTTTGGATAGAGGGACTTCAGTTAAGGAGATGCAAAAGAATTTGACGATACTGTTTCTTCAGGGAAGAAAAAAGAATTTGACAATACCAGCTGGTACCAGTGAAACACTGCATGTTCAGTGTACAGTCAGTAATGAAACATGATCAGATAGGCAGCACTGATGTCTGATGGTGTCGAGGCACTCATGATAGCAGCATAGGAAGCCTTTCATGGAGACATTATCAAGAGACTGGACGCCTTCATGGAAACAGAATGACTGAATGAGAGTTGGAAGATGTGTGCACAGTGTTTTGGAAAATAATGAGCGTATAATTGTGACTGTCAGACAAAGCAGACATGTAATTTCAGACGCCTAATTGCTGACTTTACATTCATTGCGTCTTCACAGGCCCATGGAACAAATTCATGAGTGGCATAAACTTTGAATAAAAGCTGTAAAGCTCTGATAAGTCCGAATGTTTTTTAGTACACTGGTACTACTAGTTTCAGCTTCCAATACTCAATAAAAATGCAGGGATTGTGACAAAAGAGAAGGTTGGTAAAATGACTGTAGGAGTAGTAGTCAGAGTGATATCACAATTTAGACTTGCACCAGGATTATAAATTATTGGTACTGTGTGTAAGGCATTATTTGGCATGAATATGAGTTATCCACCATGGTTCTGAGTAATAGCTCTTGAAATTTAAATGAACAAAACTAGTTGAAAAACAGATTTTTGCTGCGATTCAGTAGATCATTTGTCCCCTTTGTCGATAACTGGGCACCTGGAGCAGAAGTCAGAAATGAAGAGGAGGGGGCACCTGAACCAGAATGGATTGAAACAAAGCTGATCATGACGTAGACTATGGCTGTGTTTAGTCCAGCGCAAAGTTTGAATTTTGGTTGAAATTGGAGATGATGTGACTGAAAAGTTGTGTGTGTATGACAGGTTGATGTGATGGAAAAGGACTGAAGTTTGGATCCAAACTTTGGATCTTAACACAGCCTATGTGATTGCTGTCAAAATTCATAAGTACGCTGTTCATAGCTCCCAGAACCTGCAGCCCGTGAATTCTTCTCACCTCTGACGACTAATGAGTTTTTCTGCCGTTTCAGTTCCAGAAACGAAGGCTCCATGCCTCCATATGGTAGAGTAGCATGCTGAGTCTGAGACATGCAATTTTATGAAAAAGATATGCAGATCAATCGTTGATATACCGACCTGCATGCCAGCCTCTGGATGCCGCACCGATGGATCGACATACAACAACAATTCAGAGTTTCAGACATCCCCAAGAACGTGACATTTTATATCAATTCAGAACTAAAATCACATACTTTGATCCACCTCATATCTCTTCAACGAGTTGTATCTTTATATAATACAGCAAATGTATTGGTCAACGATGACGTCTAACCCAATTAAGAACGTCCAACCCAATTAAGGATGACTGCATTATTAAGAAAACGAAACAGAGAATCGGATGCGACAGTTTATGTACCCTTGAATATAATGCACATACACAACCTGATCAGCATAGTCAAGTGGACAGGGAAGGTCAGGGGCATCTCTCTCACAGCAGGGCAGACAGAATCGTTGCAATCAGAAATGAAACATTAAAGAAACTTCATGAGCAGCTACACACAATCTATTCATCAGGCGTTCACAATCTAACAGAATCACTGAATATCACATGGGCACGAACATTCAGCACCAGAAACAAGCATTCTCTTCATGTATTTTATAATATCCATCTATGATTCGACATCAGTATGAAGATGTCGTTCAGAAAGCGCAGATAACAGAGGACACAAGTGACAGGATCAAGTGATTACTACAACCAGCAGCAAGATATGATCCATCAAATGAAAAGTGATTACTACAATCAGCAGCAAGATATGATCCATCAAACGAGGGACACTGATTAATTTATTGTCAGAGGACTAGAGTACTGAACAAAACAAACTTTCCTGCACATTACAGCATGTGACAAGCATATCATATTTTGAAAAAGGGCGAGGGTTCTAAGACTGTTTTCTGTTTTCCTACAAGGCCTGGATAAATGTTAGTACTCTACAGATCAAGTATGATAAAGTCATCTATTTCTACATGGAATTCTCAGAGAACATTTCCATCATGCAAAAATCCAGAGTGGTCTTCAAAGATTGGTGAAGCACTTGAATACCTTATGCATAAGGTATGAAACCCACCAAACATTGAAGTTCACTGGCAAAGTATAAATAGACTGGCATATAAGGTGGTACTGACGTCGTTGTAACAAAATAATCACCCCCATTGTTTCCATGACGAAATAGGCAAGAATTGCAACGGTATTGACATACAAACACCAATAATATTTACCCTCAACAACTTATTTTCTTGAATCAAAATTACAGAATGGAGACCAGACCACAGTTTGAGCATTTAACAGACTGAAATAAGGAGTCAAGAGATCCAGATAAAATTATACATTTAGCACAAAACAGATGAATAGGGAGATTTAACGACCAAATGACTAGGTGCCTCCTCGTCCTCCTTGATACGAACCACTGTTTCTACTTTATAATCACAAGATTCACAACGCCATATCAAAAAACCCAGACGAAGTTACCAGATACCAATTCAACAGCAGAACTTGGCTGTTCTGGATAGAGCATAGGTTTCGACAGAATTGAAGTGGACTGCCTAAGCAAGGGTATGATATTCCCTCTGGTACTGGTCTGAGTCAAGAGCAACAAGCACATAGACTGCGTAGATGATGCCAGGGACATAGCCAAGGATGGTGAGAAGCAAGCAGATGCAGAACTCCATCTGTTTAAGACATAATAAATATCAACACTATTAGTATGTTACCACGAGGGGCGGAAAAGATAGAATGCAGAACTGTCAGTAGTGTTATCAGCACAAAAAAAAAAAAGCTTGTTCATCGCTGATTCATTCGGACTATGCCTATGGTTTAACTTTTGATATCAACACAGGCAGATGTAGCAGAGTCAAGAAAACTATGCCATTATCACTAGTCAAAATTCAAACATAATCCCCATGCTCTTTGTGCAGCACTTCCACTTGAGCATAAAAATTGGCCTGGGGATGACTAAGTTGACAATATATGCGCTATAATACATCGAAGAACCAGTTTAAAATAAAATAACACCAGGCAGATTATATGGACTTGTGACAAAATTTCAGCCTACTCTCTTGGATCAGTTATCAGTAGATAGGGATTGCATAATTACCAGAAATTCTAGGGTACTTACACTGCAAGGATTAACATAAATCATAAATCACAAACCGACAGTAGCACTTTCATATGAACTCCAGATGAAAAATGGTTAGAGAGAGAAACCAAAGGAAGCCCAATTGCATAGGATAGCCATTGCACGAAGCAGAGCTACATCGAGAGTTGTCCACCCAAGATTCAGCGCTGGCAGCGCAGCGTTTGGAGCTCGGGGATTCGCAACCACTCCCAGTATCCTCGAATTATTATTACTGGATGCGAGCAAAATCGACCTACCAGATCGCAAAAAATTCGCCCCCCGAAATTGAAATTCTAACGACCAGATGCACACGAGACAACGAATCCCCCCGATCCACCTATCCACGAACAGTAGCAGAGCGAGCGGGAGATCGTCGGGGAGGCAAGGAGAGAGATAGGGAGGGCAAGAAAGGGGATTCGTGGCGGCGTACGCTGCAGCATCCGAAGCGGAGGAAGACGCCGAGGGGCGGGAGGATGATGGCGAGCAGGATCTCGAGGAACGTGCAGCACCGGCCGGACGCCATGGGTGGAGGATCTCGGATCGGATCCGGGGGGATCAGAGGCGAGCGGGATCTAAGCTATCTCCTCCTCCTCCTCGTCGTCCTGCTGCTGCTTCCGCTGGCTGTGTGTCGCGTGCGCGTCGTCTCGCCTTGTCGCGTTGGTCGGTGGCGTGGCGTCGCGCCGAGGAGATTATTACAGGACGGACGGGGTATGGGCCGACACGTCGCCTAGCCTTAATTACTTATCATTGGTTAGTTTATGAGTAAGGCTTAATCATGATTTGTATGATGGTTAATTACTTATTCCAAATGTTTCAAATTGATTTATCATTCTATCTTTAATCTAACTTATGTCACGTTGAACGAGTCCGATGAAAGATTAAGTATAGAGACATAAAAATGAGAAATCATTAGCACGGACTTCCTTCATTTCATATTATAAGTCGTTTGATTTTTTCCTAATTAAATTTTATTAGCTTTTATCAAGTTTGTAGAAAAATTTAGCGATATTAAATTAGTTTTATCAAATTTAATATTAAATGTATTTCTATAATATGTTACTTAAAAAGGTCAAACAACTTATAATATTTATAATATATAACGGATAGAGTATGATTCATTGATTTTTGATTATTTCAAGATTAAAAATAAATTTATATGATATTTGAAAAAACTTTTATATAGAAAGTTTTTCACGTAAAATATATCGTTTAGTAGTTTAAAAAACTTGTTAACAAAAACAAATAAAATATGTGTTTCAATTGTGAAAGAATATGGATTAAACATGTCTATGTCTATTTTTACCATTAACTTTTGAAAAATCGTTTATTTTAAGACTTATATAAATTACGAATTCTTATGCTAAATAAAAACTTTGTGATATTAGAATATACGAATTTATAAGAAATAATAGTTAAAATAGACATGCTCGACATAACCCAAAACTAAAACGATATCTGACAATGGTTAATGGATTGATTGATTAGCTCAGCACCCTCAAAACCGGACACGGGAGCCTGCAGTATCATCGACGCGACACCGGTATCGTGTACGGATTCTCTCCTTGTTCTTTTCCTCTTTGTTTAGAAAAACACAAATCATATCCCTCTTTTAATTAATTTTATTAAAATGCATTGTCCCCGATTCCATCGTACACCCCTGGGGGACCAGCCTAGCAAACCAGGAGCCCCAATTGGCTGTAAACTAACCAAAAGCATCGCATTAACATCTACCCGTACTAATCCCATGCCAGCTAGATCATATGACTACTTAATTAGCATGCTAATCGCACAGTTTACCGTATTTAGCAACCTCAAATGCAAATCAATCTGCGATAACAATGTCAAATTCTAAGTCCAATAAAGTGCCCACGTACAGATCATTTTTTTTTTCGTGAACACTAAAAAAGCTTTGATCGCGGATATATTACAAGATTACGAGATCCAGGGACAACAAATCTGACAGACAGGTTTGCATTGGGAATGATCCTCGTCTTGTACCATCAAACCCAACGTGAGCTGCGTGATTAAGATTAAGAATTTAAGATTATTATTATAATGTTATCGGCTCAATTAATCCATAGGCTCCCAGGAGTTAGTGGCCAACACGGCAACACATGCCAGGATCCCAGCTCTGCCTGCAGAAGCACACACGAAACAACCTAAAACTACCCTGAAACTGAAAGTCTCAACTCTGAAAAAATGGCTGGAAAAGCGACAGATGATCAGGAGAAAAATATTCCTGAAAAATGGCGAGATCTCTTTACTCTAATTGGCTGGCTGGATGTGTGCATATATGAAGGATTGTACTGTGATTCTGGTGAAGATTCAGGAACATAATTAATGAAGTTCTTAGCTATGTGAGTTTGATCCGTAATCTTCTTGTTCTGAAAGAGAAAAACGAACTCTGAATCTGAAGAGATTATGATAAGCTACAGGAGCATACTACGTACAGAGTATCCTCCTGGCATGATTAGTAGCGTACCGACTTTAATTAACCCTTTAAGAATAATGTATACTAGTAGAATACTGTTGGAGATTAGCTGACGTGTGGCTGTCTTAAGGTCTCCTTAATTATATATTATGGAGGTTAAGTACAGTGGGATAGCAAAGCATTGTGATGTTTGCATAATTGCATTTTTTGCCGCCATTAAAAAGGCTGTGTAGCCTTGACATGCCGACATGTGTGACCATCTAATCGCTTTTGCTTAACAACTACAATTAGCTTATCTAATTTTATCCTCCAAGAAATCAATCAAACAAAGGGTGACAGATGTTCAGAGAGCTTGACATCCCAGCTGTAAATTTTTGTTCATACACTGAAGCCAATACTTTTGAGACATCAGTTAGAAAGTAGAAAAGAAAAAATCTATCTTGATGTGTGGTGTTTAGCCACCTGGGGCTTGAAAGTTTGATGGTGACAAATCAAACGGTGAGATAATCACTATATATCCTGTCAAACTCCGTTTGATCCTTGCGAGTATGAACAGAGTTTCGTTCAGAAGTGTATCCACAGGTTAATAATGAATACTTTTCCGTTCATCCAATATGAGAAGTAATTTTCCGTGCCACGTGAATAGATAAAGCTTTTTGCACAAGGTGACAATGGAAGGTAGATACTCACATTTGTAGCATTGCAATTTGATGATGGAAGGTAGTTTTGGATCAATGTCATTCATGTTTTAAGCTATTAATTAAGCTGCATAAAGTACATAATGTTTCGTTTTTATGGAACAAAATAAACGTGTGAGTATTGTACGAGAAACTAGTACACCTAAGAAGTTGCCAAAAGAAACTAGTAGTTGCCATGATAAATGTGCCACGATTTAACCTATATTCTTAGCTTCTGAATTATTATGTGCACGTTTCCTAAGCAACTAAATAGATTTTTTAAGAAACATTATATATAGAAATTTCTTAGATACTTTTCAAAATCCATCTTTATTTTTTTATATTTAATTCATTTTATATGTGCCTTTGAATTGTAATAAAAAACCAAAATATTAACTATAATTATCGGCTGCAATCTAATTCGAATGTAGTAAAGCCTCTACTATGGATGTGGTTGAGAATACTATTATTTCATCATATATACTCAGTAATGGCTCAAATCTAATTGCAATTAACAATAATCATTTATAGGTATACCGTAAAAGTAAACTTCGATATAAGAAAAGGAAAAGTAAATAAAGCAAACTATTCAATCACTAGATTAATTCTTACAACTATATGCTCATGTTAAAAACATTAGATTATTCTCACAAGAGTTATTCGATGATAATACGATCGTGATGTAATAACTGCAGATATATTTTAACAAAGAAGCACAAATCAAAACAAGAAATTATTTCTTTACTAGAGATAAATTCTCTATTTCAAAAGAAAGAAAAGGCTAGAGATAAATTCTGAGGCAGGAGTATATGTATCTGTTGATAACCACCAAAACGGTGGATCGGTGATCTACCGGAGGAGGAGAGGGCATTGCAACAGGGCGGCGAGCGAGAGAGAGAAGGGAGGGTGGCGGTGAATAGAAAAAGGAGATACGCAATCTTCCCCGAATCCCCCACCCCTCCTCATCTCCCTCCTTCCCTTCCGCCTCCGCCTCCGACTCCTCCTCTCCGGCTCTCCTCTCCTCTTCCCGTCGCTTCCGCCCCCTACAAATACTCGCCCACCTCCTCCTCCCCTCCCCTTCGCTTCCTCCTCACCTCGCCTCTCCTCGCCTCGCCGCCGCCTCCTCCCTCGTCGTCGTCGTCGTCGTGAGTACCCTCCTCCTCCCACTCCTCATCCCCTGCTTCGATTCCGCGATGTTTGGTTCCGTGGCGAAGATCGCCCGCGGGGATCGGGGGAGCGCCACTGTTTTTGCGATTGTGATTGGGGTTTGCGTTTGTAATAACGGTGCTGGTTGGATGCAGGGGGGTGTTTGGGGGGATTCGGTTGGGCGGCGACATGGGGGTGTACCTGAGCACGCCCAAGACGGAGAAGTACTCCGGCGAGGGCGGGAACGACCGCCTCCGCTACGGCCTCGCATCCATGCAGGGATGGCGGACGACCATGGAGGACGCGGTGAGTTGAGTTCCTTCCTTCCTTCCTCCCTCCCTCTGTTTCCCCTTCCACATTACATTATTGTTGGCTTCTGCTTTCTGGTTGATTCGCCACCACCCTAGGACCCGGAATTCGCAACTGTTTTTTAGGTCAGGATTGTCTCTCGTAGATTTGCTTGATTGGTTAGCCGCCAAAAGTTGTTGTTCCGGGGAACTGGCTACGTGGATTGATTCCAATTGCGTTCGCCAATGGTGGTGTTCTGTTGCCCCAATGATAAGACTCACGGTAGCCTTTTGTTGCGCCTTGTCACTTGCATTTGGAGTCCAGTGCCGATACTAGGGCAGATAAATTGATCACGATGATTAGCACTAGGAGTGCCGTTCGACATTGAGTTCTCATTGATTTGGCATGACATTAGGGACCGTTTCAGGTGAAATTAGATTGAATTAGTGGCTGTACCTGTTCTTTAAACGCTTATTGAGTGCATCCTTACATTGCAGCACACTGCCCTGCCACGCCTGGACGAATGCACATCCTTTTTTGGTGTCTATGATGGCCATGGAGGTAAGTTTTTTCATTGATTTTCTGTTCATGTCCAACTCGCTATTATGTTGCATCTTCAGATCTAAACAAAGACGAGTGCGATTTAATGCCTACCATTTGGTGATTGAATTAATATCATCTTACAACTTTATCCATTACTAGTTGCAAATGATTGGTGCCTCTGTAGTTTCGATGGCATAACCTTAGCAAGTTCAATTAAGCATCGCCAACTTTCACCTAACAAACTACACATATTAGGTAACCTGAGCTGTGTTGAGTTGATGATAATCTCATCCATTCATTTATTCATCATCTCATCCATTCATGCAGATTAGGTAAACTTAGCTGTGTTGAGTTTGGTAGTCCAGTAACCTAACAGGGAAATAACAATCAAACAGTCCAACATTTTCACATTCCCTTTTTGATCGTTGTAAAAGGTAGAAGTGCATTGAGTAGGTTTAAATTGATTCATCTTTTTCATATATTTTTTTTGAAACCAAAACTTAATGCGCTTCTATGTTGTCCTTTTATCCACATCATGGACAAAACTCTTTATGTTGTGACTTGACAAACTGTCCTTTGTAATTCCAGGGAAGGCAGTATCTAAGTTTTGTGCGAAACATCTACACTTGCAAGTACTGAAAAATGAGGCTTATTCATCTGGTGATTTGGCTACTTCTGTCTTAAAGTCATTTTTCAGGTATGTAGCATGTACCTCTTTTGAACATGAAGTGCTTTTCAGTGAAACTATCGTATGCTTGGTGGTTTTAATGAGTCTGCACCGCTTTTTACCCTTTCAGAATGGATGAGATGATGAAAGGGCAAAGGGGGTGGAGGGAACTGGCTGAATTGGGGGACAAGGGACAAAAGTTTACTGGCATGTTAGAAGGCATAATATGGTCCCCGAAACCTGGAGAGTCAGATAAACCTGAGGACACTTGGACTGAGGAGGTAAAACTGCTATTCTAAAAGTTCCTTCATTACCAACCATTTTTGCTGGATGATGGAATTGAGGGGCCATCTTTGATGTCATGATGCTTCAGAGTTATTCCTTGGTAGAACAAGCATTTGACGGGATAAAATACTAAAAACTGATTCGATGCTAGTAATTCTGAATTCATATTTAAAGAGGCTTGTCTTGAGTGGTGCTGCTCTTAAGTATGTGGATTGGTGAAGGGGGCTTGGTCCTGCTTGTTATGTGATTAGGGTTTCTGCAGAGAGGGATGTCTTTCTTAAAATACCCATTTAAATCCTTAAGGGATGTCTCTCTAGTAGTTATCTTGAAAATATGAGAAGTGCTCTTGAGTCAGGAGTGCCTATGATCGTTGCATCTGAAACTTAGGTCAACACTAGTTTATATTAGAAGGTGATGTCCAGTTATTTTTAAGCATGATAACATGTGATCTAAAATTCATTTGGTGAAATACATTATTACAAAATATGTTTGTACAAATAAGGAAAACAAAGGGAATATGCACCATTCGTTAGCACTGAGCATATATGTAACTTACGAAACATCAGCTCCAGAGTTCTATATTTTTATACATGACCTTGTTTCCTAAAAAGAAACTGTTCTTGTGAAATTCTAGTGAATGTAGAGTTCAACTAAACTGCTCTAACTAAGTTACTTAACCAGGGTCCTCATTCTCATTTTCCTGGGCCAACATCTGGAAGCACTGCTTGTGTGGCTATCATAAGAAATGATGAACTCATTGTTGCAAATGCTGGTGATTCCCGGTGTGTGCTCTCAAGGAAGGGTCGAGTACGTCAGTCAGACCTCTATATCTCTGGTTTTATTTGTGAAGAAAATGTTAGAATATGTGTCCTGACTCAGTCTTCTGCATAGGCTTATGACCTGTCAAAAGATCACAAGCCAGATCTTGATGCAGAAAAGGAGAGGATACTGAATGCTGGTGGTTTCATTGTTGCTGGGCGGGTCAATGGAAGTTTGAACTTGGCAAGGGCAATAGGTAGCACCCTCTCTTCTCATCGAAAAACAATTCCTTAGCTACACGCATAATTTTTATTTATCCTTTTGTGCTTTTCCACCAGGGGATATGGAATTGAAGCAGAATGAATTTCTCCCAGCCGAGAGACAGATTGTCACTGCTGAACCTGAATTAAACACAGTGGGTTTTGTTGACAATTTCTGTCACTGTATTTGCTTTGGACAACATTTTTTGTAACATGGAATTTATTCGGCTTGCTCAGGTTAAACTTTCTGAGGATGATGAGTTCATCGTTTTAGCATGTGATGGCATATGGTATGTCCTTTGCACCAATCATTCTCTCTTGAATATCTTATTGAGATAAACAATTTTAGCTATTTTTACCATCTGGTGTAGCTGCTGCTGATTTTTGACAACTCAATTTTCCAACAACAGTTTTAGTTTATTAGCAGATTTGATTTTTTTAGTAAAAAGAAACAATAGTTGTAATTAGGGTAAGTCCAAAGAAATGACATCATCTTCTATTGGTAAACCATTTGGACAGCCCTTGGAGATAGTAATTCACAATTCTTTTTAGATGATGTGTACTAGTGCACTGTGTGGCGTGCAGATGCTGATATGTAACTTCTTTTATAATGGATCCCAGATACATAAACATCCAGATAACTTTGTATACTAGATGTGAAGCTGATTTTTTATACCTGCAGTTATTTTGAAATGGTGCTAGATCTTTTGTCAACTCTTCTATGGATTATTCTGTATTCTTTGTAGTTTCACTGGATAGTTTATCTGAGACGTAAATTTATCTTATGACAGGGATTGCATGTCAAGTCAAGAAGTGGTGGACTTTGTTCACAAAGAAATGAACACTGTAAGCAACTGATATTCACAGAATTTACATTATGCACTAAAAATATATAGTTCATAGTGTTGTGTTTTGCAATATGCTTATGTTATGGTTTCCTAATTTACTGGGAAAACAACTACAGGAGGATAGCCTATCTGCTGTCTGCGAGAAGTTGCTTGACCATTGCTTGGCACCTGTATCCGGTGGTGATGGCTGTGATAATATGACAGTGATCATAGTCAAGTTCAAGAAGCCAAGCAAGTCAGCTGCTACTTCAAGCACAAATCAATCTGTCTCTTCAGAAGAGATGCGACCAAAGTGAGCTTCCTTTAACCGTCGCACCTAAACCATATTCCAGATCACGAAATCTCGCATTGTAAAAGCCTGAGTTCCCCTTTCAGAATTTGAGCCCTTACCTTTGTGAACAGCGAGCTTGATGATGGCCCAAGCGATCCAAACAAGTAGCAGGCCGAGACCGAACCATGGAGTTCCAACCGGTGATAGACAAAAAGGATAGTAAGTGGTGTATATAAGAAAAGGGATTCTATTCTACAGTCACTATAGGGTTTGTTCTTTCTTTCAACTAGCATCTTTTTCTTGCACCACAACCTGTAATACATGCCATGTTGCTTAATCGAACTGGGTTGTGTGAAATGCATGAATTTTCCAATGCTCCATCCTGTCGCTGCTTTCTCCGCCTGGAAATTTTTTCCTGAATCCTGATGCTCTATCATGAACCAATATTCTTGCTGAATTAATACTTGAATATAAATCTGATTTTGGTGCTACATTAATCAAGTCCCTGATAAAAATGCGAGCAAAACACACAATGTGCCAATGTTCTTGAGTTCTTCCAAGCACAAGTGCAGAGATTAATTAATCATGGCAATATGGCGACAGCTGCGGCGGCCACGGCGAGCACTGCCATCCACACGGCGGCGCCCGGCATGGCGGCAGCGGCGGCCTCCTGTGCGGCTCCGTCGCCGCCGTGGTTCTTGGCGCCGTCGCCGGTGGCATTGTGCTTCAGCGGGTGGACGGTGATGGCGACCTTCATGCCGGCCTGGCAGAAGCCGTTGCCGCAGATGAAGTAGTAGCGGCGTGAGTCGTTGAGCGGGATGAAGTCCTTGCCGGAGGTCCAGTTGCCGGCGACCCCGGCCATGGTGCAGTTGTCGTACCCCGTCTGGTTCACCTCGAACACGTTGTGCGTCCCCTTCTGGTACCTGAACGCTGCAACGCCGGCACAAGCACAAGCATCTCGTCGTCGGAAATCATTGCTGCTGGAGCGAAAGAAAGGAGGAGATGGAGAGAGGAGGCTTACAGATGAGGTCGCCGACGTAGAAGGTCTGGTTGCCGGACCAGAGGGAGTAGTCGATGTTTGGGTTCCAGCCGTGGTTAGCGCCGACGATATGGTCCGTCGCACCGGCGAGGCTCACGGCGAAGCCGGCGACGACGGCGACGAGCAGCAGGTGGCACGCCATTGCGCCGCCGCCGAGCTCAACCCAGGGAGCCAATGGAAGGGTAAGAGGAGGGGAGAGAGAAGCACGGGCGATTTGATTTGATTTATGTGCCGTTCGTGTCAGAAATCTGGACCCTTTTTTGTTCAGCCTTTGGCCTGAACAAGGTACCATGGATTAGTGCAAATTGGGCGAAATTTGAATCATCACGCGCCACCGCCCTCGACGCCGGCGGCAAACACGCCGCCCTGGCCCCAGCTTGTCGCCGCCGTCTACACGCCGTGGAACGTGAAAACATGCGGACGCCCACATGGCAGGGCAACTCAGACGACAAGACTGAAAAAGACATTGATCATGGCAAGTTGATATTGATTCCATGTCTCCCGACGGTCTGAGAAATCATGCCACAGAATGCGGAGCAATTTCATACCGATGCCTCCAAAGTTCCAACCACAAGCAAAATTAAAAATGGGAGAAATGTCACACACCCAGAGCACACCACCAACACCCAGGTTGGATAGTACTTGAAAGCAAAAGGGACATTTCATTCTAATAATATAACAGTGATTAAATTGTTACTGGTACATCATATTGATTTCATACTGGTGCCAGAGTCAATAATACCATTGATTAGAGTACAAGCAGTTCATAATCAATTGAATTCTTATACCAGTCCATTAAAAAAATTTCACCAAAAAACAACTCCATCACAATGTGTTCTATCCTTGTAGTCTTGTACTCCAAATTACTACAGTAAGATGTATCGTTTAGCCATAACAAACATAAATTGTTCATAAACTAAAACCTAAAATGTAACTTCACTGAAAATTTCTTTAAAAAAACCCAGGGGATTGATCCCCACTTCGAACATACAATTCCCATGACTCAGAAGGCTTAAAAACATATGCTGTGCTCTGTAGTGTTGCAACTAATCAATCTTCACAGATGAGTAAATCAACCTCGTGAACCAGAAACAAGCGCAGAAACCGATAGTACCAGTAAGCACAAAGAACGCTAATGAAGCAAGCAACATGTACCCAAAGTACAAGATGCCAGACACCAGCTTAGTAATCTGCAGCTTCGTGAAGAAGTAGAAAGCAGCATATAAGAAGAGATAAAGTGCTGAGGATCCCGAAGTGAGGTAAGATCTCCACCACCACATGTAGTCCTCACTGCACAGTTGGAAATAGCAGAGCACGACCGTAATCTCGGCACAGGTGATGATGAGGATAACAAAGACGAGGAAGAGGAAGCCAAAGATATAGTAGAATTGGTGAAGCCAGATAGAGGTGAGGATGAAGAATAGCTCAATGAAAACAGCACCAAATGGTAGAATGCCACCAATTAGAATAGTGAAGATTGGATTCATGTACCAAGCTTGCTCGGGGATCTGCCTTGGAATCTTGTTGGTTTTAACTGGAGGTTCCAGGGCAGGTTTTTTGAATCCAAGATAGCTCCCAACGAACACAAGAGGCACTGAGATACCAAACCAAAGGAGGACCAAGGCGAACATAGTGGTGAAAGGGACGGCACCAGATGACTTCTCCCCCCAAATAAGAGCATTCAATATGAAGAAGATAACAAAAGCAATCCCTGGAAATAAGAAGGCTGTGCGCATAGTTATTCTCTTCCACTCTGAACCCTTGAACATCTTGTAGAGGCGTGAAGAAGCATAACCAGCAAGCAACCCCATCAAGACCCAGACAAGAAGCATCGCGGTCATCAATCCTCCCCGATTTGATGGAGAAAGGAAACCCAGAACTGCAAAAATCATCGTAACCAGCAGCATGCCGAAGAATTGGACACCAGTACCAACATAAACGCAGAGTAAATCAGAGTTGGTTGGGGGGCGGAACACATCTCCATGAACAAGCTTCCAGCCAGTTTCCTCTTGCGCTTCTTCTTGAGTTTCAAGTTGGTTGTATCTAGAGATATCTCTATATAGAGTGCGAAGCATTATCATTGCGACCATACCAGACAGGAAAAGCACGATCATGAGAGAGTTGACAATAGAAAACCAGTGAATCTGATCATCAGTCATCAACAGATAGGTGTCCCAACGGGAAGCCCACTTGATGTCACTCTCCTGCAATGAGGGAAAAAGATTCAATGGAAATCATTGCAATAAATTTAACATTAAGAGAATAGGCAACTATCACATGAAGGGGGAAACAGAATCCAAACAAAACATGCAAAACTAGTACCTCAAAGTGAACATCATAGGTGAATATGATTTCTTTGCCAGCTTCGACCTCCTGAGGAGAGTCAGAACTTGTTACAAGCTTGTTAGCATGAGGGTCACATGTGCTCAGGCGAGTGTTCACGCCATCCCATTTATCATCAAGCTGATGCTTAATGCTGCCATAACAGTATATAAATAACACATGCATTAGGCTCATTTATATAGAGCATATGCAAGTAAAACATCAAAGCACAAAGTAGAAAGAAAACCTGTATGGCTTGACCTCAAATCCCACTATTCTAGAAAGTTCTGAATCATCGTCCTTGTGGTACTTCACTAAAAATGACAAATGGTTGTGAATGAAGTACTTCTCTTCCTTGCTCTGTGAATACATTTATATATCACAGTTTGTTAATCCAGAGCATATATGAATAAATAGAAGGTCAAGCAAGCATCAATTGAGTGCACAACTTACTCCGGTGTACTGGCCCTTGACACCAACATGATAGCCACCTTGGTAAGCAATGTTCTTATCTTGCCTTAACACAGAAACAACTAGCGGGAGATTGTCAAGAATCCTGCAAAACAAATCATGTCACTTTGGAAGATACTGTGACTTGAAGTGCAACATTACCTATATATCCCTTACATGTTCACACGATATTCATCCTCTATCTTTTCCTTGAGCTCCTTTGCTTCTTTCTCACCAACAGTTAATTTGCAGACAATCTGGCACATCTTGGGCTCTCTCATTTGAAACTGTAGCTCAAACAAAAAGAATGATGGCAAACAGAGATTAAGGCATATTACTTCAAGGACATAAACTTCAAAATATGAGTTACCCGGTACTAACCACATATGGAGAGTTCTCAATGCGATCACCACGAAGAACCTCACCGAGATTTTCAGCACTGTCAACGATAGTTTCTGGCTTGCAGAAAGGAAGGGAGTAATATGCATAGGGTAGTTGAGTTTTTACTGATGTCAGCTTATTCACCTTCACGGGAAGTGAATCACCCTGTAGATAAACAGGAAAGGCAATTATAAGGGAAATCCTGGCCACAAATAAAATGTTATGATGCCCTAAACTATTCCTTGTTAAAGGTAACATTTATTTGGACTTAACATATCAAGATGCGGCATGGCATGTGTACACATGAAACTACAAGTGCAAAGAAACAGGAAGATGAGCCAAACCAGTCTGATCTAACAAATGAATCTTCTTTGGAAAAGAACTAAGCAGAACAATAGTTATAATTATGATCGATGAAGCAGTGAACCAATGCATTATTGGGTGACTCACCAACCCAATTTCAGAAACCAGTGCCCATGCATTGTTCTATGTTAACTTTGTGATCATCTAATTCCATAGGCAAAATCAGATAAGCTGGAATAACCACTGGACCTAGATACACCAGAGGAAAAGAAGGCAAGCAAAGAATTACAGTTCAGATCATTTAAGCGATGGCCTTCTTTTAGTGTAATGGCAATGGATTTTTAATGAGTAACCCTTCAGAAGATGATCTTGTGGTATGCAATTACTGTGAGTTGAGTTTTTTCCGAGACGGAACTTCTGCTTGGCTCGGATGGCCAGTGCACATCCGTTTATTGAGCTTAACTTTGGTTCAAACCAATGGATTTTCTCAGAATCACCTATTCCAATACAATACTTGTTGGAAACACACACGTTTAACGAGAGGTAGTTTAATGTTACTACTCAGAACAACCAAAATCTGATGTCAAAGTTTATACAAAATCAACCAAACTAGCTATTTTTGGCTTAAATCCACCATTACTACAAGAGTTTGATGATGCATGCAACCTACACACTCCAAATGGACCAAATGGAAGTATTTGGAACAAGCGAATTGTTGGTGCAACCGTGTGAATCCCAAGCTCAGATATATATCCCACCACCAATAATCGAATCAGGAGTACCTAACACCCAAAGCCAGATCTACGAGATCCCATCCCATCCCAGCCATGGAACCGAACCCCCACCCCGTTGACCAACGACCCAGATCCAAACCCGAGCACGCGCGCAGCAATTCCTAGCTCGACGAAGAGGGGGATGGGATCAGAGCAGCGATTCGAACCTTCCCGAAGTCGGTGGGGGCGACGCCGGGCAGGTAGAACCCGGCGGCCGGCGCGGCGGCGAGCAGAGCCACGAGCGCCGCCGCCGCGGCGAGCCACCGGAGCATCTCCGGCGCTCGCATCGCTCGGCGAGAGACCATGTCTCAGGGGTCTGGATCTGAGCGCGGCGGCGGCGATGCGGCGGGGGCGGCGGCGACGGCGACGACCCGCGCGCGGAGGAGGAAGAAAGCTTGGGGCGTCGGGTGGATCTTTCCCGGGGTTTTTATCGGATAGAAGTTTATTTTTTTTGCGTTTTGGACCTTCAAGTTTCGTGTAATTATGTTTACAGTGTCGGCTTCGTCGTTTGACCACGTGGCTCTGCACATGCGGGCGGCGTCGTTTGACCCGGCGAGGCAGCCGATGCTGGTAAATTCAAATTTTCTTTTTTTGAAAACTTTGGTAAATGCAAATATTCAAACGGTAGATTGTGTGAAGCTTCTGGGTCTAAATTAAGGACTTTTCTATTTTATTGAAAAATCAACCACACCGAAATTCGGCAATATCAAATTTTGATATGATACTAAATTTTGGTAGCATTGGATAAGTTGGTTTAGAGCTAAGGCTCTGTTCGCTATCCGGCACGTAAAACGATGTTCGCATTAACGTGTGATTAATTAAATATTAGCTATTTTTTAAAGAATAGATTAATATGATTTTTTAAACAACTTTTGTATAGAAACTTTTTGCAAAAAAACACACCGTTTAGTAGTTTGAAAAGCGTACGCACGAAAATGAGGGTGGGGAGTTGGAAACCCTGGGGAACGAACGTAGCCTTAAATTTCGGTGGAATTTTTGGGGCACTCCTACCGATCGGTTGCCCGATCGAATTTGAGAAAAATCGGGCGCTGACATCAGCGCCCGATTTACGTGCAAAAACTACTTTAAACTGATTTCTCTTAAATTACTTATCCAAATCATGATCCGATTGCACCATTAAATTCGTTGCAATTAAATCTTCAAAATAAGACCACACATGAATATATTCCGATGAATTTTTTTAGCTTATTATTGAATTATTTTTAAATGTTGCATGATGTTCCAACAAATATATCAGAATT